CCGCCGCCGCTGCAGCAGCCAAACCAAAGCGAGCGCCTGTGGTTTGTCTTTGGATGTGGTGGTACCGATGCTGCGATGCCATTCCTGCTGCCACTGCCACTGCACTGCGTCCCCAGCTCTTAATCATGTGTGTCATGATTCCCATTCCGCCACTACGTACTTACAAGTGTTAACGATGATGCCTATGGTCTATGGAGACATGGAGTAGTACGTACGTACGGTCTAGCGGTTCTTGCATATGCACCGCGCCGGCGGACACGACTGACAGCGCGTCTAGGGTTTTTACCGGGCCTGCTGGCTCTGCACGCGTCAGTCCATACAGCATAGTATCATATGCATGCATGCACCGCACCAGGCTATCGCAGCCGCAAAAGGGCCTTTCCGTGTTAACTTAATCCCAATTCATTCCCACGCTTTTCTTTTTATCATCAGCACGCAGCAGAAAGCCTGGTCCAGCTGCCAGCATTACACGCTGCAGATAAGATAAAAAGACACGGGATATAGGATATATACTACATATATTCATAGCTACTGCATTAGATATGGAGATAGATCATAGGTGTAGCATCTAGATCATCCATCCATCTTTGATAGGGAAAAGAAGGCTTAGCCTTTCTTTAGGGCATGGCCAATGCTCCACGCTGGAGTGCTGCCCCGCCGTTCCACGTCGGATGCATGACGAGAGAGAGAAAAAGAGTGCTGCTTGCAGAGGCTAGCGGGCTCTTGCAGAGAAGCCTGGTGCTTCAGCCAAAAAAAAAGAGAAAAGGGAGAGAGAAGAAGCAAAAGCAAGGAGTAAAGCACCAGGACATGCGCAGCCATTGGTTTAAAGGAAGAAGATGATGATAAAAAGAGAGTACAAGATGGACCACGCTAGTTATTGGAACTGGTGCTTCATATATTTACTCCGACGTGGATACTGGGGTCGGACATGATGCTGCCCTCATTGTACATGCCTTTACATATCTAGCTACATATCTTCCTCGCCTCACCTAGCTATCTCCTTTTTGCACTCGCACCTGGAGTCGCTGCATTTGTGGGGTGCAAAAGGAGAAGAAGACTGCTGGTTAATCATCCCGGAACTGGAACAAAAGATACGGAGAGTCGGAGGCCGACCAATGCACCGCCACGCAAGTTTGCCATGTTTGGGACCTCATCCATGTACCCAATGATTCACATTTGCAGCTATGGTAGCTCTGCAACTGACTCATGCATGCATGTGTAGCAAGCAATCGGACGATGATTGAGCGGAAGAAATCATCATGCATGCATGCATGCAGTATAAACGCTTTACATAGTTACACCCATCACCATTCTAAACTAACCTCCTATGCTATTATAATATCCATGATCCGTTCAGAAATACTAGATACAATCATTTTTAAGACAAGTATTTAGTACCTATGCTAGCTCAACCATTGTGTGAGTATCATGACGCATGCATGCATGTGCAGCAAACAAACGATCCATGCATGTAGGGTTTAGTATCTATGCTATTTTAGGATATAAGGGCATGTACAATGGTTTTATCTTACGAATGCCATGTAAGATAAATGATGAGGTGAAGGAGAAAAAAATTATAAAAAAGAATTGTCTTCTCTTATTTAATAAAAGACAAGAGATCATCTCTTAGCACAATTTATCTCATCACATTTTTAAAAATAGCTAGTTATTGAAGATAATGCTAAAAAATGACCCATTGTAAACATGTTTTTTGTCATTTCTAAATTGCAAGATTTAAAATAAAATTATTTTATCAACCATTCTACATGCCCTAACTCTTGGAAGAGAACCTCTCACTACTAGTACGATTTTGCATGCACGCCACGCCGGTCGTGTCCCAGGCACTTTGATTCTACCAGAATATACAAATGAATATCTCAATAGTTTCATATTTTTCTTCCTTTTACATAATAATGTCCTGCCACCGGCACGGTCTCGATCTCACGCTGCAGCTGAATTGCTTCCACGATGCAGCGGATCAATCCAAATTAATTAATCCTGGACAAAAGTACACGACGACACTAAACCTTAATTAGTATATATATGTATACAGTACTGCACTACTTAACCACGTACGTAGTCTTGACACGACGACCTGAAACAGTACGAAACAGCAACATGTATAGACGACACTGAACAGTACTACAACAGTCTGGCAGAATTTCCATTGGGATTTCTGAAGACGGAAGAAATGTTGTTGTTATTTCTCGCAAATCCGAGAAACCCAGGGTTGTTGCTGTAATAATGCTGCTGTGAGTGTAACTGTAACCTGCCCGTGCTGGCGGCCGCGGCGGCGCTGGCGCCGGTGCTGCTGCTGGTGGTTCCTAGGGTTTCCAGCGCCTGCACCTGGGACTTGAGGAACTTGAGGTAGCTGGCGGCCTCGTCCAGCATGGACGCCGTGTCCATCTTGCTCCCGCCCGGGACGAGCTTCTGCAGCACGCGGAGGCGGTCGCTCACGCGCTCCCGCCGGAGACGGGCCGCCACCGTCTGCGGGTCGCTCGAGATGCGCACGTTCTTGCGCCGTGGCTTGCTGCTGCCCTGCGCGGGGGGCTCCGTGACTAGGTTCACTGGCCTCATGGCCGCCGCGCGGTAGATCATCTCCTTCACCTGCGCCATCGCCTCCATGTCCGGCTTGTACCCGCCGGCCGCTCCGGCGTTGGTGTCCTGGCCGAACGTGATGCTCGTCGCTGTCGTGGTGGGGGCCTTCCGCTTTGTGCCGGCGTGTACCGTTGCTGCCGCGGGGCAGTCGTCCGCGGGTAGCTTCCGGCTCACGTGGAGCACTTGCTGTGCCGACGTAATCGTGGGGTGCGACGTCGTGGTGGGCGATATGGTGGACGTCGGCGACGCGACCTCGGTTACGTCGTGGCCGCCGCCGCCGCCGCTGTAGTTGTTGGACTCCCCGGAGGAGATGTTACAGACGGTGGTGCCGCTGTAGCCGGAGAACATGGCGCCGTTGGAGACGGCCCCGGGGTCACCCTCCCCGCCGCACGGGAGCACGCTGGAGAAGGCGAACGCCGAGTCGAGCAGGCCGTCGTGCGCGCTGGCACCGTCGACGACGGACGAGAACACGTCGACCCCCGAGCCAAAGAAGCCCAGCGGGCCGTTATTAGTCGAGTCCCCCGCTGCGCCTCCGACGGCAGCACCGTAGCTCGAGCTCACCTGGCCTCCTCCGCCGAAGTCGCACTGGAGCTGGCCGAGGAAGGCGTCGTCCAGGTCGAACCGGCCGCAGCTGAGCTGGCTCGCAGGGCGCGGCAGGTAGGCGTCGTCGTGCAGGCCGGGGCCGGACCAGCCGAAGGTGTCCATCGCCGCAACGCCGCTGCCGCCCGGGAGAAGCTAACTATCCAGCGACTGGCGCAGGGATTCTGGGACGGCTGCACGTACATAATAGAGAATGAAAGCGTCAGCATATTATTCTCGGCTGTAAATAGCCAGAGTGATACTATGAATGATGAGATTACGATCGAGGAGGAGGGAATCAAAATTGAGGCATGGAGTGGAGGGGGGTGGGCCGCGGCCGGGGTGGAAACGTGAACGTCAGGGAACAGTGTCACGCGGGCGTGGTATTGATGGGCGGACAAGGACGGCCGGCCGGGGGAGAGAAACCGGAGATGTCCCGAACCCCATAATTACACCGCCATCTGCACTACTCTACGACTTACTACCAGTCTCAAGAATCGCCTCTACATACCACAACATGCGTCCATAATCTACAAAATCGTACTCGATCGTATTGCCATGCACATGTATCTTTATGTGAAAAGTAGGAGTAGGTTATTACACCCCGCCGGCCTCAAATATTTTGCCGTAATATATAGGACTCTATGGTACACTGTACTACTACTCAGTAGTACTAAGCAGCCTGATTAAGTGTGCATGCATTTGCTACTAGTACTAGCTAGTTAATATGCGTATAGATTCTTTGGAACTCGCCATACCGTGAGATGAAACCGGATGACTGGATGGAACAACAATGGGAGGCACCAGCTAGCTTCGCCGCGATGGAGAAAGATTGATCCAATTCCCAGGCCGGCCGGCAACTCCTTGGTCAGGGAGCTAGCACGCCGTCGAGAAACGCCGGCGACCAAGGCCGAGAGACGCGCAGCGGGTTCGATCGACCTGGAATAAGCCAAGAAAGAGCCTGAGACCTCGAGCCAACAAGAAGAAAATTTCTTCATGCATAGACCCAACCAAGCAAGCTACCATGAAAAGGAGGAGGAGGAGAAGATGTAGCCGGAGATTTGAAGTACTAGACACTGTTGGTAGATAGATGTAGACCTACCTGTGTCCTGCAGAGAGGAGTAGACCACTCTAATGGCAACAGAGCAGATGATTGATCAATCGATGGCTTTGGACCTGATCGAGCAAGCCGGCCGGTCTAGCAACCTAGCTTACTCCCGGGAAAGAAGCTCTGGATCTATGCTAGTAGCTCTGAGAAGGAGAGGGAGAAGACAGTACAGATCATACGTGTGGGATATGGTCCTCCTGTTGATGGCAGTATATGGGGCTCTTCTTTTATAGATGGCTAAGCTTGTGTCTATGTGTCTATGATGACTCTATGTATAGCAGTAGCAAGCCCTCTCTGTGTGGAAAACGAGAGTAGTCGAAGCATATGGGATGGTTTCTCTTCCTCTCTCTAGCGTAGCATAGCGTTCTCTTTTCTTGTGGGGCTGTTCAGTTGGGAAAGGATGATGATGAGTGGGCAGCAGAGCACATGAAGTTGCACAGCTGATGACGCGCTCTCATAAATACTTGTCCAAGTCTGTAATCTTTATGTATCTTACACAGCTTACGCTTCTGTTTTCAACAATGCTTCATTTTGTTTTTTGCACTACCTACGTACGTAATCTGCAGTGCAGTGCAGGGGTTTACCCTAGCTATCGCACTACATGTAGTAGAACCGAACCTCCTAGGCCTTCGAGACACATTATTGTACATGCGCTCAAATTAAACATTTCGACGAAATAGAGATGGGTTGTGTGCATCTACGACGATGCAGGGGCAGGGGGCAATTCGTAAGTTTTCTAAGAAAAGATCGAGCAAAAGGATCCCACTTGCTTAATTTGGCCTCTGACCTAAAGCTTTCCTGCTTGCTCCTGGGGCTCCGCTAGCTTTTTTTGCCTTTGGATTCAGATTCAGGCTGAAGAATCAGAAGACTGCCACACTCTCCTGTCCGTTTCAGCAGTAACTTTTTGTTACTTTATTTATTTGGTTTGCCCGGCCCCCTCTCGCTTACACCTTTTGGTACCACTCGTAAGTAATTTGTGTGTATCTTCTTTTCTTGGCCATGGATGATTCATTGCGGCTAGCATATATAAGGAGTATATAAGTTAACGGTGAGGCAACATGGATCTTAGTGAAATCCTTTTACAGAGAGCAAGATGACAAGGGATCTACATCAGGTTGCTGGAGAGTAGATGCAAATTGGGGGATAAGCAGACAAAACCATGACGACAAAGCAAGGAGAGGGAAACAAAGACCCCCCAAAAAACAAAGAGAAATCTAATGCTTGCATGTTTTCACATCCTTTTTTTTATTTTGGTTAAAACAAGATAGGAGAGCCCATAAAATCTCTGTATATGATAGGGTCATGTAGAGTAGAGGACCACGCATTGATGATGATAGGCAACCGATTTCGCAAGATTTGGAGTCTAGAGCTTTGTTTACATGCGTGTATTTTTTATTTTTATTTTGAAAATAATAATCTCTCACCAAATGGAGATGTTTGACAGTTTGGAGCATAGCACTTGCGTTAGCTGTGGGAGGCAGTGACGACATGTTGGTTGGTTAACCCCCTCAGTCAACAGTAAGCATGAGTTGGTCGTCAAACTAGTGCTGAGTATTTGTGCACATGGCAGGCTTTAACTTGCTCTGAATATGATACTGCCATTGTGTAAGGATGGGTACAAAGTTGTGCAGGTAATAAAATAAGAGCAGGAAAGAGGTCTGAATAATCTTGTTCTTTAGGAAGGACGTTATCGTCTTTCAAGGAAAAGTAGCATTGTCGATCGATCTAGTGAACGTACGTTATTTAGTTTGCTCCCAACATATTGATTTGTCATGTACTAGCTCTTTTGATTGGGAGGCACGTGATATTGTCGTCACACGTACGCTTACCATCATGCTCACCTGCTATTATTTTTCTTGGCACTACTATGAACTTAGGTTTATTACTAGTTAACAATCTTTGTTAGTTTGTTGATGCCTTCTATTTATAGAAGGCCAAGCCAACTTTTGTACAGTAGGGCCGCAGTATAAGCAGTGGTGGAGGCGTGGGATACTGTACCTGTTAGCAGGGGCGGACCCAGAAGAAAAACCTCCCGGTGTCCACATATACACCAGACATGGTGGATACCAAGCAATATTACACTAAAAAGTAACATACTCCACAACTTAATTTTTTTAGGGACACAACTTTAAAAAATATGGTAAAAATTCTTATCAAAATGAAGCATTTTACTTGAAATATTAGTTGGGTGTGTAAAACTGAAAAATATAAGAACTTTAAACAAGATATAATTCACTGATTATTATGTTATCGCAAGTGCTCAACAAGTTCCATTACTTTTGTAAATTAAGCATATTGATTGAAGTTACAAAGTTAAACTTGCTCCACACTGTCTCTTACTACAACCGCATGCGGTCGGCTAATCCAAAATTCAATTAAATGCGGATCACTAAGGGAAATAGTCAAATCACAACAATTTGTTTCTTAGTTGTAATACGCTTAAATTTGATAACCCTAGTCATACAATTTAGACTACAAAAATCAGAGAAATTTGAGATATATACACGTATTGGAGAGAGATCCGCGAGCTTAATTACCAAGGGCCGTACACATTTCCTTCGATTATTTGGCGATCTGCAGCGGCCTTCTGGTGTCCAGCTAGTGGCCGCAGACTAGCTGCACATTTCACTTATGCTCGCTCCTCACCAACGTCCAACCGTCTCCAGCTGTGATTTTTACCGGTGTCCAAGCCCAACACATGGCCTACAAACAACACAAGATGAATTTCTTCTCGGTGTCCTGTGACACCGGCTATGTATACGTAGGTTCGCCCCTGCCTGTTAGTACATTGGTTCTGTAAGACAACGTATACGATAGTCTGTTTGTAGCTTGTCTATTTTGAGACATGACTCTAGTTGCGTGTATACATTACAGACAACCTTCATACAACGGTTATACACCTGTTTGTGAAAATCTTACAGGAAGTATAGAGAGTAAGACTGCCAGAGATGTCATCCTGCATCACTTCCCATGACCGGAGTGGCCCACCTGTCCCTCGTTGATGAGACTTGCCATACTCGACGGGCAGGAGCTCACCCTACAACTCAAGACGGCACCGACGAGCGTTCCGCATACCGAGCCAACACATGTGCACCACAACACATCAGACTCAGCAATTGTCGAGCATCACCGCCAAAGCCAACACTCCACCACCAGAAGAGAATGGTGGACTCAAAAGATGATGCCTTCGATAAGGTCATGCCACTAGAGCGCCACCAACGATTGATGTAGAACAAAAAGGTTTTTACATGGAGTACACGAAGGGAAGAGAAACCGCAAGGACACCTTCAAGAAGGACATGGCGCACCAATGTTATCACCATTGGCACTGGCTGAGCTAGGCTAGGCTCTAGCCCCTGCAAAAGTACCCCCACCTCCCTAGATTTGAGCACAAGACGGTCGCCGAGATACCTATCGCAGTGTAGCCCAACACAACAATCACCAGCTGCCGCACTGCCCAATCGGCCAAGGCAACAAACTAGCACCAGAGTCACAGCTCCCGTTGCGAGTACTCATGACTCCCACCAATCAGGGTTGCCGCCCCGAAGCCCGAAGACCAGCCTCACCCACCACCCAAAGGGTGACAAGCCGCATGGAAGGCCACCTAACTGTTGCGCTCAAGCATCTCCCCTGCCACTCCAACCACTCGCCAATGTCAACCCAAGCAAGGACAGATCAAATCGTAGCAGATCTGACCGACGGAGCATGAGTTCAATCTCCCTGTTGAAGCACGGTCGGCAGCCGCCACACCGAGAGTCTCCATCCATGAATGAGAAACGGATACATAGCCATCTCCGACAACGCAGGGAGAATGATATGGGAGGTCGGGCAAACAACTCACTCTTATATGTGACCTATAGCTTGATGATGTTCCTGATTGATGATAGCTATCCAGGCTCTACAAATGAATTTTGATAACCAGCGAACGTTTGCTCAGAGGGCATGGAAAATCAAACATTTTCCATGGCAATTTATATTATCCGATGATGGAAAACTTCTTTAGCAAGCATGGCAAGTTC